TTTTTTTTTTTTTTTTTAATACAAGAAAGATATGAATTTGTGTTGAAATTGTTTTTTTATTACTAACATATTTTCACATATTTTGGCAGTTTTCCCGTCCTTTGGTAATGACAAACATCTCAGCTATCCAGCGCAATATAACCCAGGTAGCTGGCATAAGCAGCCTTGAAATTATGAGGTTGACCTTACTTGGTATCACACTTACTAGTTTCATATTATTTTCCTATGTCATGGCAGTAATGCTAAGTGTCTGCTTCACCAGCACTGTTGCCCGCCAAGAAGTCCGCTACATCTTGTTCACCCACATGCTTGTTACTGACTTGGTCTACCTCCTTCTTAGCCTCTTCCTGTTCTTAGCTTTCTTTTATCCCACTAAGTACCCTGCACCTTTCTGCTACATTATGGTCTTCGTGACCTCCACCTCTCTGAAGATCACTCCCTACAACTTGGCCATTATGTCTTTGGAACGCTATGTGGCCATTTGCTTCCCGCTACGACACAGAGAGATCTGCACTTTACACAGAATGGGCATCGCTATTGCAATTATTTGGGTCATCGCTCTGTTGCCTAACGTTGCCGATTTCTTTGTTTTAATTTTGTCGGTCCAGAAAACGTTTTTTTCTCAGAATGTGGTTTTGATATGCAGTCGGTCTTCGTTCATTGTCACATCGGTCCAAAATACCATAAGACTGGCCAGCCACGCCTCAACTTTTTCTTTGGTGGGACTTATAATCATCTTCACGTACATCAAGATCATGCTGGTGGCTTTCAAGGTGGACTCAGGAAAGTCGTCTGCCTCCAAAGCTGGAAGAACGGTCATGCTCCATGCGATTCAACTCCTGCTGTGTATGATGGCTTTCAGCTACAGCATCTTTGAGATCATCCTAAAAGATTATATCTCCTTACTCCCTATCATCAACTTTTGTTTCTTCATGTGTTTGCCGAGGTTCATCAGCCCTTTCATTTATGGGATTAGGGATAAACTCTTCCGCAAGCAGATTCAAAAATTTATTTTTTGTGGTTTTCAAAAATGTAGTTCAAAATAGGATGTAAGATCAAAAATATAAATGTTTTATGAAAAATATAGCTTAGAAAGATTGCAACTCAATGGACCAGTCCTTCAAAAACAACCAGCTACTTGGACTATCCTGCTTCCTACATGCAAAAATGAATGCTAAAAAAATAAAATAAAAAATGCTTGTAGACATCTATGGTTGTCAATCTATGGTTCCTCCCAGTGGCCTAACTATAGCCAGAGCAGCCTACGCAGCTGCAGTCTTCCTCTGGCTACAAACATCCCATACTGTCTCCTGTTTGTTGTTCTGCAAAAAATAAACCTCACAGTTTAAAGAACTTTGTACTAGAGTTATGGAGTAGTTGCGTGCTAACAATTATGTCATGATGTCAAATATTGCGATGGTTACTATTATTGCTTTTTACAGTATTTTCTTTGTACTGACTTCTACACCACCTCTTTCAGTACTGGCTGGCTGGATGAAGAAGAGAAATCATTTTATTCCCCCATCCATGCTAAACAGCATGAATAAGAGAATCTCCTCTGCAGGCTATTCAGTACCTCAGCAACCCGATTGGATGCAGTGACTGTTCATTTCCCACCCCGCTCTTTCAATGAAAGTTAATCAAGGGATCTATTCACTAAGCTGCCGAAGGATCTAGCCGTAGCTTCGGCTGATCCTTTGGCTAGCTTTGGCCCCAGGAGCCCTTCGGTTCAGTAGAACCGATGGGCTGCTGTATGGGCTATTCACTATAGTCCGTACAGCTCCCTGAGTTGGCCGAGCGGCTCAGTAGAGCCGAAGGCATATGCCTCGGCTCGACTGAGCCGAGGTGAAAGCCAAAGCTGGCTGAGCGTCAGAATAAAAAAATTTAAAAAATAACATCACCATAGGAATGCATAGCTAGATTCCTATTGGCTATTTCAATTTGCAATAGCCAATACCAAACTAGCTATTGCACCCACCCACTGCTGCTGTCAATCAGCAGAGGGGGACCTGCAGTTCTCCATCCGGTCCTCCTCTGGTGATTGACAGCAGCAGAGGGCTGGTGCAATAGCTAGTTTGCTATTGGCTATTGCAAAGTGAACTAGCCAATATGAATCTAGATATGCATTCCTATGGTATTTGTAGAACCGCCCGGCCAATAGAAAACAGTTGGGCGGAGCTAGCTGTCACTGCTAGCGCCGCACAGTAGTTTTCTATTTTTTTTCTACTTTTTAAACTATTTTTCTATTCTGCTCGGTACCACAGAGGTACCGGGCAGAATAGCCGAGCCGAATGCCACTCTGCGGCATTCGGCTATTTACTCACTGCTGTTCGGCATCTATGAGAATAGGCCGAACAGCAGCGAGTAGCCTGCCGGAGGTTCGGCTCAGCCGATCCAGACGTTGGATCGGCTGAGTCGAACTCCTTCTGCACTTCGGGTCGGCTGAACATGCTGAGCATGTTTGGCCGACCCAAAGCCACACTAAGCCATTCGATGTAAGGCTGATTTCAGCCGTACAAGCCTGTAGTGAATAGCCGAACATCGTTCGGGTCGGTTATTAACTCGGATGCCGTCGGCAGCTTAGTGAATAGACCCCTAAATAAACTGACTTTTGTCAAGTTGGTTGGTGCCAGCAGCGCCACCCACAGCTCACATTTCAGCCGATTCAGCAGAAATCGCACACAATTTGAGCAATGTGTACCCAATTTCAGCTGTGCCTATACAGTGCTATACTGTGCTATATTACTGTGGATTGCAATGTGGTGGACTACATTTTTTGTGTACTCCCCCATAATTGCTGTTTAGGTGCTGCTGCTCACCCCCCCATCCTACAGCATCCATCTGGGTGTCACATGCATGTGGAGACAAATGCACCTCAATGGCCTGGGGAGGGGGACGATGGCTGGACAACAACCCAACCTGGACTAATCCATGGCTGGATCCACTCTGAGCACATGGCAATTCCCTCAAGTATATAAGCAATTACCCAGCATGCAACACTGGTTGAGAGAGACCCAGTGATTGGCTGCTGAACTGCCCACACAATCACAATGTCCCCCATTGGCTGTCCCACACTGCAGCAGAGTCACACTCCACTCAGGTAGGTACAATCAATGCCAGAACACCTGGAATTAACCAGATAAATGCCAACTATAATCCGCCCAGACTGACTACAGCTCTGGCAATCACTAACTTTCTAGTAGCCACCTCACAAAACGGTGATGGGGGCTACAGAAGTATAAGGATATCTCCATTATCACAGACATATTCACAGTGTCATGACTTACTTTGGTCTAGTTATAGGGAGAGAACATTCTAAGAACTGGTGCAAGAGTTCAACAAAAGAGCATCCTAAAGCTGACCATATACTGTTATATATTATTCATTCAACCTGCGGGCCGAATAAAAAAAATATACCAGGTTCCTCCATCCATGTTAAACAGCATGGATGGACGAAGCTCCCACTGGGCTATTGTATTCTGACAATGTCGGGTTTGTGGCACAGTACCCAAACAGTGACAACAGCTTATTGGCTGCTGCCTCTGTCTGAAGATATTCTGACCAGCTCCATCAAGTATCTGATTTAAGGATGCCGGATGGAAGGCTGCTGACAGAGCCTCCCACTGAATGAGCTTCATCAAGAACTAGCCAAAATCCTCACAGTGTATGGCCAGCAAAGTCAGGAGTTACAGAAGGGATGCAATATACAGTATACAGCTGCTCGTCCCTTAATATGAAGGCTGTGAGAGTTGTTGAGAGAAGTAAGTAAATTAGAGGAGGAATATTGTAAGAATTTAGGATGAAAAGATAAAAAGTGGAAGTAAAGGGAAGTGCAAAGTGAGGCGTAAAAGGAAGGAGGACAAGATGGAGGGAGAAGGATGGAAAAAAATTGTAAAAAAAGAGGGGGGGGGGGGGGGGGAGAAAAGGATGGGGGGGC